ACTGGGCACTTGGCAAGTGCTGTCCCCTCCCCTGGGGACAATCCTGCTCCAGCAGCTCCACGGGCACCATCCTTGCATGGAGAAAAATCCCTTGTCTTGGGGTCTGCAGCCCTCAGAGCCCTCCAGACAGGGAAATGTCCCCAAGCAGGTGCTGGGGACAGGAAGGTGATGGTCTGGTCACTGAGAGCCACGTCCATGCAAGGATGGCTCCTGTCCCAGTGTCACCCATCCCAACTGCACTGGCCTTACAAATCTGAGATGGCTCACCTCCCCCTCTGCTCTGGATGCCACCATTCCCAGCTCTGCCACACAGGGACTGTCCCCACTGGGGCCCTGCAGGAAGTCTGCCAGCCTGGGAGGGCAGCCAGGCACCCTCAGCTGGTGCTGTTTTGGGGAGCAGTGAGGGATGATGGGTGCTGTAAACACTGCACCCCAGCCTTGCTGCTCACCAGCAGGATGTGTCCCACTCCAGTGCATCCCAACCTCATCCCACAGGCCAGGGTGAGCAGGTCGTGTTGCCACCCCAAGCAGCAGGGGTGCCCCTCCTTCTGGGCACAAAAGCATGAGAACCTTTCCTTGGAGAGCTGCAGCCACATCTATCAGATACTTCTCAAAGCCTCTTCCCCTGCCACAGAGTCGGGGTCTCTACACCCCTGTCTGTCCCTGACCAGTCATCCAGAAACCATGTAAAGCTTCCCAGCACAGAGGTTTGCAGGATTTCCAGCAGTTTTGGGGCTGTGGAAGGCAGATGGGTGCTGGAGAGAGAGAGGTCTAACAGGTCTGGGGTTACAGGGCAGGGGAGCCCCAACTGGCTCCCCATGGCCCAATGTCGCTGGCCCGGGGCCCAGGACTCTGTTTTCCTGAGCCAGGCACAGGGTATCAGCCAGGAGTTAATGATGCTGGGTTTAATTGCAGCAAAGCAGAGGTCCCAGGGAAAGCAGACCCCCAGGGACACATCCCAGCCATGGTGTTACAGGGCAGCCAGAGCAGCCAAGGTGTCCCTGAGCTGTGCCCCACATCCAGTGGGGACAAGTGGCACTTAGGAAGAGAAGCAGAACCAAACTGTGCCCTGTGAGCCAGGACCAGCATGGCTCCTGGACTGGGACACCATGGACACATCAGCTGGGATGGCTCTGCCTTGAGGAAGGTGCCTGAGCCCTGGGAGCAGTTTGGGGCTATCTGGGGCAGTCAGCCACTGCTTGATCCCAAGAGCAAGTCCCTTTTCCACTGATATCAGGTCCCTGTCCCTCCCTGCCTCGCTTCTCCCTTTTCAGCTGCCCTGGTTTACATAATTAAAGCCAATTTGCTGTGACAACATCTTAATCCCCTCTGCCCCCTTGGGTGGAGCCTCTTCTCTCCTCTCACTTCATCACTGCTCAGCTCAGCATCCACACAGCCCCAGGGTGGGTCACAGAGTTGCAGCCACCCTGGGGATGAGCAAGGGGCTGCAGGAGCTGTTCTGCAAATGGGATACCCAGGAACCACCACATCTCCCCATCCCACTGCCTGGTCCCAGCGGCTGCAGCCAAATGGGCAACACATGCCTGCCCCATGCTGAAGGGTCCCCTCAGAGGGGCCACAGTCCTTCTTCTAAGCTTGGCTGTGACAAAAGTGGCTCTTTCTGAGTTTTCAGCCCCGAAGCGGCTGCCGGAGCCAGCGCCCGACTCCCTCTCCCATCCCCAGGCGGCACCAAAAGTAAGTTCATTGTTTGAAAAGCCATCAGTCAAGGCTTGCTGGCTAAAATTACCCTCCTGCTTTATCATCTTGAGAACATTAAGGGCTGTTGTTAACAGATGTTTCGCGTTACACATTATTTGTTAGTCTAATGAAAGGAGGTGAACAAGCTTTCAAGACCTCAGAAGCTGTGCCGAAGGTTTTCGATGGGAGGCTGTTGCACCGCTCCAGGGGAGGATGAAGATGAAGATGAGGACGGGGACAAGCTCTCACCACCCTGTTGACTCTTCCTTGCTCTTGCCTGGCTTGTGGGATTTCTGATTTTTTCGGTGTCATGAGAGCAACGTGTTGCACAGATATTTATGCTTTTCGTCTCAGGAGGATGCACTGGGTGCCCTCAGGGCCAGTTTGGGGCTGGGGCCAAGGCAGGGGCTGAGCGGCCCCTTGGCTGGAGAAGGAGGTGGGGATGGCTCTGGTTCTTGGTGCCAGCAGGAAGGGATGTGCTAGCCCTGCAAAGGGACTGTGGAAGGGCTGCTCCTGGAGGAGAGGTGTGCTGAGGGCCCCAGACATGGGGCTGCCCCCAGCCACCCTCTCCAGTGGGAAGGTGTGTGGGACAGAGGTAATGAATGAGAGCAGGAGGGGGTTGAATCCCCTTCTGCAAAGAATAAAACCCTGCCCCGAATTTCTCCATCTCTGCCAGCCTCTGGAACAGAAACCCCCTGCTGCTGCTTCCCTGGGGAAGGGGAGGGAGTTCTGTCAAGGTTGCAACCTGCTGAGCACAGCCTGGGGCTGCCTAAAGCATCCCTGTGCCAGCGCTGCCAACACACCCCCTGGCCTGCAGCAAGCCCTGCCCTTCACAGGGGTACCAGCAGCTTCACAGCAGGTTCAGGGCTGCTCTTGCTCCCTAACAGGTTCCCAGATGGAGCACAGAGCCACGTCCTGCAGAGACACACTGGGGTACCGTGTCCACTTGTGTTCATAATAAACCCACTGCCACCGACCTTTGGGGCTCCAAACTTGCATCTGGCAGAAAAAAACCCCCAAGACGGTGAAGAAGAAGACGAGAGAAAATGCTGAGAGGGTGTTTTACTTCAGGATGCCAATAAAAGACAACGTTACCAGTAAAAGTTCCTCTGCTGTCATCGCGCCGATGCCGAAAGCATCGCAGATGTGTAGCAAAAGGCTGACGCTCACAAAGGCAGGACAGTTGCCTCAGATTTTGCGTCTGGGATTTTGAGTCTACTCATCTCAATTTAGGAAATTGCATCCCAGTTAAGGCAGTGGCCGCAGGTAACGGGTCTCAAAGGTCGATGTTTGCATGTGCACAAGTTTTCGTCTCTGCCTTCTCATTCTCCTCTTAGGTGTTCTTCTCTCCAGGTAGGACCAAGGGAAGAAATGCTTCTGCTCCTGGACAGCCTGTCAGAGCATCTCAGATGCTGATGTTTTCCTCATCCCTGCAAACTCACCCTAACAGGTGCTAATGGGAAATATCTCACATGGGCCAGCAGTGCTGGGATCTGCAGGTGCCAAGCCCCCTGGGCCTCTGCCCCAGGAACAGTGGGCTTTTTGGTTGAGATATGGGCTTGTAGTGACTCAGGCAGGCCCCTTGCCTCTCTCTGTTTTTTGCATCAGACTCGGTCCCCACTGAGCTCTTTGGGTGCCTTAGGAGCTCAGCAGGGCAGTAGTTACTCTGCTGTTTTGCAAACAGCCCTGTGAGACCAACCGAGTGCTGCGGGCTGGGCTGGGTTTCCCAAAGCTGCGCTGATCCCACAAGGAATACTGTCCCCCGTACAGCCCCATCACCGGGTGAAAACCACCCCAACAGTCCCACAGGCAATGTGAGAAGTACAAACAGAACCCAAGGGAAAGGGAGGGAGGATGGAAAATAATGCTGAAAATACCAGATACCATCCCAGAAACAGCACCCAGCCTCACCCAGCCCTCAGCATCCCAGGCACAGGCAGGCTGGGGGCTCAGTGGGGCTGCTCCATGAAGGAAAGAGGTTGTGCAGGGAATGAGATGTGGGTGGGAGGAAGATGCTTCAAACCTGCCTGCAGTGGAGGAGCCCCGGGAGGGAGCACCCGGGGGGAGGTTCCCCACTGGGAACCCTCCCTCACCACAGGTCCGGGCAGCCTCTGGGGTGGGCTGAGCCCCCTTCACGGGCACAGCTTCCCAGGTGAGTTGTGCACCCTGGCCAGGCACGGGGCGTGCCCTCGGCAGGGCCATCAGCACCTCGAGGCTGTGCTCTGGGAGCTGCAGAAAACGAGCTCAGGGTACCACAGCCCAGCCAGGAGGCAGGTTTTGGGGATGCCACCCCAGGGTGCCCTCGCGGTGGGCTGCTGGCACAGGCCCTGGGGGATGGCGGGGCTGCACTCCCACTCCACGCTCTGCCTCCCCTCCGTCACCTCTGTGCCCCGAGGTGACACCCGCCTCCGGCGGGGGGGCTCTGGCAGCTTGTCGGCTGCCCCTGGACCGGGGCTTTGCCCCAAGGACGGGGCGAACCCTCCTCGCCCCCGCCCCAAAAGCGGAGAGGGGATGCGCGGGGCCGGCGGAGCGGCGCGGAGGGTCGCGGGCGAGATTGTCCCGTTAGAAACGTCAAACTCCCGGACAGGACCCAGCGCCACGAAGCCGCGTCCCGGGTCGATCCCCGTCTCCTCTCCGAGCCCCGGCTCTGTCCCCCTGGCCCGGTGCTGCCGGTGCCGCCGGCCCGGGGACGCGCAGCGGCGGCCGCCGGGATGGGACCCGCTGCGTCCCGGTCCCCACGGCCCCGCCGGGCCGCCCCCGCTCCCCGAGCCCGGAAACCGAGGTGGGGAGCTCTGGGGGCAAGGGGGACCCCGCAGGCCGCCCAGGGACGCACCGACTTCCCGGGAACGTCCAATACCCGGCACCTCCGCTGACGGAGGGGAGGCGGCCGGTGCGGGGTCCCCGTGCCCCCTGGCCCGGTGCGGGGTCTCTTTCACACGGTGCGGGGTCCCTGACCCCGGTGCTGTGTCCCTCTCCCCCGGTGCGGGCTCCCTGTACCCCGACGCAGTGTCCCTCTCTCCCAGTGCGGGGTCCCTGTCCCCCGGTGCGGGGTCTCTCTGTCCCAGCCGTCGGGGTGTGGGCACCCCCGCAGTTCGCCCCGACAGGAGTCACCCCTCTCCTCTACCTCCTCTACCCGCTCCCCGATTCACCCCAAACCCCGCTGCGGGGAGACACCGAGAGACACCGACCCCCCCCTTTTGTCCGCCATGCCCGGCCCGCGGCAGGAGGGACACGGCGGGGACACCCCATCCCCAAAGCTGCCCCAGCCCGGGGGAGCCCATCCCGGGGCGGCGGGGACTCACCGTCCTGGGGCGCTGCCTCGCTGCCGCTGCTGCCTCCCGACGGCTCCGGGATGGCCTTGCCGCCACCGGCGGGCGGGGGACCGGCCGCGGGGGGCCCGTTCATACCGGCCGCCACCTCCTCCAGGTCGAGGAGGTGGCTCACGCTGAAGTTTTTCCGGCTCTGAGGGTTTTCGGGCGGCTCCGGGCCGCGCACGGCGCCGGGGGCGAACGGCTTGTCCATGGCGAAGGCTGGCGCCGAGTCCATGGCTCCCACCCCCAGCCCGCAGCCCACCCCGAGATGCCGGGCCGCTCCCCGGCCCCCTTCCCCTTCCCCACCCACCCCCCCAAAAAAAAGAGAAAAAAATTATAATAATTTTTTTTTTTTTTAAATAGGGGGGAGAAAAAAAAAATCACGGCTGCCCTGTGAGTCCGGCTCCCTCCCCAGCCCCTGTTCCGCCTTGTGCTGACGTCTGGGGAAAAAACCACGCTCCCAGCCCAAACTTTCTTCCCCTGCTCTTTGCTCTGGAGCTGTTCAAACAAACGCCCCTGCTCAGAGCCGAGCGGGGCGGCCCCTCGCCCCCCCCAGCTCCGCGACCTGCCCCCCGGCCAGGGGCCGAGCCCCGCCGGCAGCCAAGCCGCGGAAAGGGGGGGGGCAGAGAGGGAGGGAGACCCGCTTCTCCCCCCCCCCTTACCCCAACCACATCACTCACCCCCCCTCACCCTGTTTTAAGTGCTTCTATCAACAAGTGTAAGTGGCTGCGCTCCGTGGGGAGGGATGGGGTGGGTTGGGAGAGGGGCTGGAGGGAGAGGTGACCCGCAGGTTAGCGGGGGACACGGCCCCCCTCCACCTCCAACCCCCCCCCCCTCCTCCGGTCCCCATCAACCCCGGAGCAAGGTCACCTCTCCTGGGAAAAGCCTGGCTCTCTCGCCTTAATGAGATAATTACGTCCTGCACCACAGTTAAAAACTCATAGGCTGCTTCCCTTGGGGTTAGAAAGAAACCTCCCTAATGAAAACCAGCCACCGGGAAAAAGGAGTTTTTCCTCTTTAAAATTATATATATTTATATATATACACACAGAGATATGCAGGGAGGAGGCGGTGGGAGGGAGGGAGGAGGGCAGAGCGTGGGGCTGGTTGCTGGTGTCCGGAGAGGGCTGGGCTCTGGGCGATGAGCAGAAATCGAAGAGGTTAACAGTTATTATTCCTTCCCCTCGATTCCAGCCGCTCTCCTGCCCGCCGCTGCCGGCACATATGGACGGGGCTGTGCACACGCAGGGTTCCACGCGAAATCTCCCAGCTCTGAGCTCATAAACATCCCCGCTCCAGCGCGACCGAGGGAGGCAAACCCCTGGCTGAGTTATTTTAACATTTGTCGAAAGCTTTTCTTGCGCTCTCTTCCCCTTCAAGTCGGAGGCGTGCAGATTTTTAAGCCAGCCAGTGTTGCCAAATCTGATCTTCCTGACAGGGAAGCAGCTTCCCAGAGCTCTCCAGCCTGGAAGGGGTGTAGCTGAAGGCAGATTTTGGCTCTCTCCGACTCTGCAGGGGGCTCCTCCAGTGTGCAAACAAGCCAGCCCAACCTCCCTTCCCCCCTCCTTTTTCTTTTTTGGGTCCATTTGTTGGTTCTATCGGTCCAATTTGTTGGCCCGAGGGCACTTCAGGAGTCAGCTCTGGTGTCTGGTTCTGCCCCCTTGGCTGTGTAAATCCAGACAGAGCTCAAGGAGCTCTCAGATGATACTCTCAGGCACAGGGTGTGACCCTTGGGGATGGTCCTGTGCAGGGCTAAGGGTTGGACTGGATGATCCCTGTGGGTCCCTTCCAACTCAGCATATTCTGTGATTCTGTGATCTTGTGATGCTGCTTCTGCTCCTGCTTCCCTGGGGGATGCTCCCCTGGGTGGGTGTTTTACCTCTGCTCAGCACCCAGCTGGATGGGACCTGTGTCACACAGTGCCAGGACAATGCTGGTTATGCCCTCAGTGTGTGTTTTAGAAGACAGATTGAATACATTGCCATCAGCCCTCCTGGCTGCTCCATGCTCTCAGAGGGGGAGATTCCTGCATCACCCCTGGGACCACTGGGCCCTAGGGGACCCAGCCCAGCCTCGTGACACCCTTCCTCATCCAGATACCTGCTTGATCCTGCTTTTTTCCACTCTGGCAGCAGGGGCAGACCTTTCCCAGGATGGAGATGACACCATGTCCAGAAAAAACTGCTCCAGGATCAACCTGGGAGATGGAAACACCCCCTTGGAGGACAGTGACCCATCAGCAGTGGGCACCAGCCAGTGAGGACTGGTAGGAGGGCTGAGGCAGTGAGGACTCCCATCCTTCCCCCAGCATTTCCCCTTGGCCTCAGAGGCTGGGAACATCTTGCTGTGATTATTTTGGGGAGGGTTGTGGGGCAGCTGGTCTTGGCCCATGAAGGGGCAAGGGCAGGAGGGGGGATGGAGCAGCCCCAGCCCCATTTATAACCCTCTTCCTCCTCCTTGTTCAGGGCCAGACCTTGCTCTTGAACTGTCTGGCTTTTCCAGGGGAGACGGCTTTCCCTCAGTCCGCGGCATTAAATAATTAAATGGAGGGAATAATCGTCGGTGAAACCCCCTTGGGTTCGCACTTCCTCGGGCCCTGTGATTGCTGATATTTTTTTGGTTGAAATATGACCTTTTTTATGATCAAAGGGGATCAGAGTTCCAAAGGAAAGTAGAAAAAAAAAAAAAAAAAAAAAGAAGTTAAAAAAAAAAAGAAAAAAGAAGAGGGCAAGCATTTTCTTTTTTTTTTTTCCCAATTCTAGCGGTCTGGTAAAGTTTCTTTAGACATGCAAAGATTTACACACCTTTCTGCAGGGTGCCTTAAATTACCCTCCAACTCTTTACACATTTCCATGAGCAGAGCAAGAACAGTAAGTCATTGAGAAATTAACTGGCCTTTCAGTAATATCCCCTGTCGGCCTTTCAGAAGGAGAATGTCTAATGACTTTTTTGAAGTAGAGGTCAGGGCTTGCTTTTTTTAAATAAAACAATCTGTATTAATGCAATTTCCTTTTTAGCTGTAGGATTTGCCCTTTTTTTTTTTCCCCCAGCATCATTTTTTTTAACGCCACCATCCACACGAGGCATCAGAAGCAAGACCTGGTTGCTTGAAACCCACACTCCTGGTGTTTCCCAACCCTCTTGTGCAAGCTCTTCTCACTTATGGGGTTTTTTTGGAAAAAATTGTGGTTTAAGTGACTAAAACTGGACCTTGGAGCTGCCAAGGTGACTCCTGGCCATGCTTAGGGTGAAGTGTGGGTGGTTTGGAGACAAAGCTGAGTAGGGTTTGCTTTACCTGACACTGAGCACCTGGGTTTTGCTGAGCAGGGTGTGTGCCTTGAGTCCAGCTTTGCTGAGCCAGAGCTGTCGATGGACTAAAGTGGCACCAAATTGGCAGGGCTGTGCTGGGCTCCCCGGGGTGAGGATGTGGACAGAGTCTGACAGGTTTGCAGCCCCAAAACATGATGTTTATATTTTTTGGTACTCTCACTCTGTGTTCTCCTAGGGGTTTCCTGATATTTGTCTCATGATGTGATAACACCTTTTGCTCCCACAGTGCTCAACATCTGGATGTGCTGTGCCAGCCCCAGCCCTCCTCCTCACCCCAAAACTGCCATGGTGGCTGAGATGGGACAGTGCAGCATCCTTGGAGCACTGCCTGGGCTGTTGCTGCTTTCTGTGGCACCCAGGTGCTCATTCCTAACACTCCCAAAATCTTGCCCTGTAGATGTTACCCTGCAGAGGAACTGGGCTGAGATGCCCATGTCTCCCACGGGTGGGAAGGTTTCTTTAACTATGGAGATGCACCTCTGCTCCACTGTAAGGAGGATGATCAGAGTAAGGAGGTAGTAAGGAGGAGAGCTTGGGAGATGGTAGGGCTTGGCAGTGCCCAGCCAGGACCCAGTAACTGGCTCTTAGGGTGGGTGCCGGGGGTTTGGTCCCTTTCTGGGCACTGCTGGCCCCACCTGCTTAAACCAGAGCCGTGTCCAGCCCTGTGTCCTGCCCAGGATGGGAACAAGAGCATCCCCTCCTGCCCCCAGACCAGGGCATCAGCCAGGCAGGGGCCAGGGCTGTGCAGGGGGATAGCTGGGGGCACTTGCTGGGGGAGTCCCCCCTGTGCCCAGCCCTGCTCTTCCCAGCAGGAATGGTATTTCTATATCCACTGAGCAACTCCTCTTTCTCCCTCCATCCCTGCCAGACCCCAAAAGCACAGTGTGCCCTGGGCTGGCTCTTCTCCTCCTCCTCTCCCCTCCAGCCCTCACAACTCCCCCCATTCCCTCCTAGAACGCTGTCTCTGCGGTCAGTGGCATTATAAAACACCCTGGCCAGCCCCTTGGTGAAGGTTTTTCTCCCAGCTTTCTTATTCCCTCTGTTTCTGCCTCTTTCTTTTGCTCTTTCTCTCCCTCTCTTTCTTTCCCTGCCAGGAATCCCAGTCCCAGATGAACCAATACTCCGTGGCTCTGCTATTTCCCTTTTATTCCAACCCCCCCCTCCTTCAACAGCGAGATGGGAAAAGAGTGAACTAAAAAAAAAAAAAAAAAAAAAAAAAAAAAAGGCAAGAAAGAAAGAAAGAAAGAAAGAAAGAAAAAAATCAAAGCTGCACATATTGGATCCAGATGTGCTTACAGCCCTTTCCAGCAATTTAATTAAATTCCCCCAGACAGCCAGGAGGATTTCTTAATGATCAAATTTCCCTGGCTTTCCTCCTAAAATGCCCCTCTTTCTTCGGCTGGCTGTTGCTCTGTCTCCCTGATGGATAGCCAACTTGCATTCTTCCTAGTCCGCCCCGCCAAGGCCATGGGGAGGAAGGGGGCAGATCCCAGTGCTGTTATTTTATCCGGGCACTCAAACCCGACAGAGACGTCCTGGTTTTTTTTTTAATCCCCCAAGAAATGTGGGGATGGGGAGTCCCCTCCCTGGAGGCTGTGGCTTGTGGAATGATCATGGCAGGATACTCCAGGGAAGCACTCCTGGGTGCCTGGACTCGCTGTGCTGATGGCAAAAGAAGGGGTTCAGCCCGTGAGTATCTCAGCTTGTCACCTTCCAGGGCTGGTTTTGAGCCAGGTTTTGTCCCACACTGCACCCCTAAAGCCTCATTTGAAGCACGGGGTTACCAGAGTGGGAGCAAAGCCTCTGTGGGGCTCAGGAGGCCACATCCAGCCTGGCAGAGCTCTTTGGGGCAGCCCAGTGTTCCCTCTCATCCCTCATGGATGGGGTCAGAGGTGGCAGTGGGGT